TAAAGTTGTTAATCATTTTATTCACGAAATGTGCCGGTTGTATTGTCTGTMGTGTAAAACAAATTTTTTATATTATCATCATTAATTCCTGTTGTTTGAATATATTACTGAATCGAAGAGTGATATAATAGGCATATAATATTTTATATAGGTTCTTATTTATATATTATACGATAATAATTAATAGTACGATACTGCAGTCTGCAGATACAGTGCCTATATTATAAAAGCCTGATAGAATATTTTGAATTGATGAAAAATAATTTCCTTATAAATATACATGGTGTTTCTGAAATGGTTGAGATAACTAGTATAATATGGCATATGCGTACTCAGTGTGATCACCCAATGAAGATTTTTTTGAAATTTTTTTTCAATCTTCAAGATCTGGTTTTATTCATTTTATTTTTAGAACATTATCTTAAATGTGAAAATTAACTCTCAAGTTGTATTTTTTGCAAAATTTTTATACGAATCGAGGTGTCACATCATTTTTACGCTTGTCGCGCCTTTTTCACGCTCGGATCGCTGACTAAAAACAAAAATGGTGTGACACATTGATTCGTATGAGAAAACTACAAGGTAACCATTGGTGATAGTTATTTGTTGTCATTTACCATAAGTACAAAATGAAATGTTTATCTTATCGAGTCAAAATAATTATGTTACTGCGCGATATCCAAAAACTGGAATTTCAGTATAAATAGGAACACAATTAGTTAGTTTCATTTATCTCTAACTTATGACTAATGACATTGAGTGTAAAAGTTCCCATATTTTATTACCTGTAGGTACATCTAAACCACATACCTAAAATTAAATTAGTTAAATTCGATTATTTACAACTCTGTCAACACTAGTTTTTTAAATTATTTTATCATTTTTATTAGTTGACAACGTAAAATAATGCACCAATTTAATCATGTATGTTAAATTACAATAAATAACTACTACCAATGTGTACCTTGTAGTTTTCTCATACGAATCGACGTGTCACACCATTTTATTTTTATTCGGCGATTCGAGCGTAAAAAACGTGCGACAAACGTAAAAATGATGTGACACCTAGATTCATATGAGAATTTCGCAAAAAATACAACTTGGGTGTTAATTTTCACATTTAGGATAATGTTCCAAATATAAGATGAATAAACCCAGACTTTGAAGATTGAAAAAAAAATTGAAAAAAATCTTCATTGGGTCATCACACTGAGTATGCATACAGGGTGATTCTATTAAGTGCGTACACTAATTATCTCGAAAAGTATTTACTTTTTTCAAAATATTTTTTTGCATGGTTTCAAGTTGTTAAAAAACCAACGTTTTTATTAAAAAATTATATTTTTAAATATTTTTTATCCCTATCATTTTTTAAGTTTTTTACTTTTTGAACGACAATTTAGAGTTTTAACTTCATATTCCAAAGCAGAATATTTTTCTAAGTATTTTGATTCATAAAAATCGAATTTAGGGCTAGTATTTATTGAGTTATAAGTATTTAAAGTTTAGATTGGCAGAGTGGAGTGGTAAGGGGTTACCCCGTAAAATGTTTGTCCACTACTCCATTTGTGTAAACTTTAATTACATATAACTCATAAACTACTCGTCCTAAATTCGATTTTTATGTATCAACATTTTTAAAAAAATATTCTGCTTTGGAATATGAAGTTAAAACTCTAAATTGTCGTTCAAAAAGTAAAAAACTTAAAAAATGATAAGGATAAAAAATATTTAAAAATATAATTTTTTAATAAAAACGTTGGTTTTTTAACAACTTGAAACCATGTAAAAAAACATTTTGAAAAAGTAAATGCTTTTCGAAATAATTAGTGTACCCACTTAAAAGAATCACCCTGTATATACTAGTTACCTCAACCATTCCAGAAACACTCTGTATATCTAGGTCCTAAACAGAACTTAAAAGACAGGTTTTATTTATTTTGTAGCAATGTTATAGATTATAGAACAATAACCAATAAAATATTATACAAAACCTAACTACATAAAGTATCATACATTATGTTTTATGATTATTTATAATATAAATAAAAGTGTATATTATATTAATCTGGAGATTGAATTGTGTGTAGACTGATGAATATGTAAGATATATTTTATAGCATAGATAAAAAAAAAAAGTATATAACTATATATAACTAATTTATTTTTTAGTGGATCAACACACATTTGTCAATTTTTAAAATTTTGAAATGTGAATTATATTTTTTTATTCTTGAGTTTTCATTAATTATTTTAACATAATCTTGTCCAAAAATAAAATAATCATGATTCATAACAAAAAGTATATATACCTATAGTTTCGTCATATATTGCTTTACGAGTTAATAAAATAAGTGATAACCGATTGTTCGTTTAAAATGTTAGCTTTTACTTTGAATTCTCTCTGTAAATACCAAAATGCCAACCAATGAAACGTTTGGTGTGATTTAATTGGTTGTAAATTGCTTGGTCCATTTTTTATGAAGGAACAATCAATGGAAGACGATATTATAATTTTTTATTAAACAAATTACCGATGATGCTTGACGATATTCCTTTAGCTCTAACTGCTCTAAGAGAAAATATCTTTAATTTTAGATACGACTGTGCTCCAGCACACAATGCTCACATAGTAAGCGACTATTTAAATGCTAAATTTCCAAATCGATGGCTCCGTAACCCATTGAATGGCCACCACGATCACCTGATATTATGCCACTAGATTTTTTATGGGGTCATTTAAAAACAATAGTGTATACCAACCCTCCTATAAATCTTCAAAATTTAAAAGATAAAATAACAGCAGCATGCAATCAACTGTCTCATGAACAAATTACAGCTGCAACAAATAAAGAATTTATGCGGCGCGCTGGATCATGTTTAGTCCATGGTGCACGACAATTTGAAAAATGTATACGATAAATGAAATAACAACTAAATAAACCTGTACGAGTTGTAAGAATTGAATTTGTTATTAATTATTCATACATTATAATAGATCCAATAAATGTAATGAAATAAACATCATAATTATTTACGTTTTTTCTGCTATAAGTTATAACTATTACACTAATAATTACAGTGAAAAATGAAAATTATACAGTAGTTGAGATTATAATTATGTGTGAATATCAATTTAATAATTAGGGATGAAAATTTCAAGCCTAAACAATCCTAGAATAATTATTTTAAGAGTCACAGTCAAAAAACTGTAAATCCCGTGTATTTTGCATTTTTTGGTTGAGTTGCTATAACTTGGTCAATTTTGAACTTAAAAAATTGGTTTAACTACAAAAATGCATTAAAAAATTAGACGAAAAATAATTAGTGGTTTAAATAAGTGGTTACTATTTAAGAAAAAAAGTTGTACTGCGCATGTGCATATCTAATAAAGTTTAAAAAATTCAAAGGCCATAAAAATGTGTATTTTTATGTCATAACAACCGACCAAAAACCTGAATTCAAATCTTAGGACTCTACGTAAATTTATTGAGTGTTCTCAGTTAGCGTTTACACACTGTATTATCAAATAATAAAAGTCTCATATAAATTATGAGTTTACACATTGAGTGCGCTATTTTATAGCTATTTGCTTAAACTGACAATATGCATGTTGTGTGCGATCGTCATAATAAAAATGTTCATAAATCATACAGTGGCTTAATTAGGAATTTGGTTGAGGGTGATTATATGTTTTTAGAAAAACCTGTAAGTCTCATACAGTAGCCTACCAAATATAAAATTTTAGCGGTAAAAATAAAAGCTTTGGGGGATCTACCCCCTCATTCACCCCTTAATAACGTCTCTGAAATCATAGGTAACTAAAATGTTCAACTATTTAAATGTTGTATTGTATTAATACAGTATTTTGTATATCAGATTTCTTAAATATAATTCTGAAAATTAAAGTTTGCAAAAAAGAAAAATTATCACGATATAAAACACCGTAAATTATGATTGTTAATTAATATTCTTATAAATCTTTATTAAATTTTATATTTTTACACCCGTTATAAAATATCAATTATTTTATGTTATTTTATGCACGTCACCAGATTACTATAAAAGAATTTCCTTGCATTTTCTATCGTATGCACGTTTGTATAAGCTCTTACATCATCAGCGTAAATTATTTATAGTGGGGTTCGTTAATTTAATATTGATGGATGATTATAGATGCAACAGTACCTATTTGACGTGGTAAAATTTTGGCTGGTCTATAAATATTTATGTTTATTTCAAGTAGCTCTATAATAATATAATATACATTCATATTACGTGTGCATTTATTTTGAATAAACATTTGAAAGTTCAAGTACCTCATTTTCAATATTTCCTTTGGATGCAATTATAATACAATATACATAAAATATTCAAAACGCATAGCTTGTGTTTTATAATCGTTCATTCAAGTAAAACCCACATATATATTATACTGTTACTTATGTTTTGTATACTATAGAAGTAGGCACGTACGTGGTATAATTTCAGGTTCTACTAGAGGGTTCTTTCTCCTTGATTCTGAGCTTTATTTTCATTTATCTCTAATAATAAATCATAAATGTTTGATGGTTCATGCTTATAACTATATAAGTGATTCTCCACTATACTTGTTTCGTTGAATTAACGTGAATGTAGTTATTTGGTATTCCTCACCCATATTGGAGGATATATAATTATTTCATTTGAAGATCTGTCTACGATTTTAATGTAAAAACACAATACTTACAGGTTACAAAATCACAACAGTCAATAATATGCTAACATTTACAGAAATATGTTTAAATTATAGTTAGAAAGTAATATTTAACTATAAATTATATTTTTTTTTATTAAAATATGTTATTCTTATGGGGAGGTAAATTCAGAGTAGTCGATTTCAAAGATCCTCTACTATCAAATGATTCTTTTCTCACTGTGTCATTTCTCCCGAATGACGTCATTGATACACCCATTGTTAATTTAAATATGAGAAGATTCATATTGTTATCGTTACTTACCTATATCGTCAAAGATCCATTCGTGTTTGAATGATGATACGGCTGACATGAAATGTAAGATCGAAGTAGCAAAATCGGCAGTGGCCAAATTTAATACAAATGTTGAAAACGGACCTTTTAACCTTCTAAACCTAAAAATAAATAACGTTTGATTTAGTAAAGACAAAAAAAAGTTACATGGTCATTGTTAAAATAATTTTTTTTTATAAATTAATCGGGCTAATGGGCCCTAGCCCCCTTTTTTGAATAATTTTTCTTAATAATTCATGGTGCCACTTGAAATTGCAGAGGGTGCAGGTGCATACCCTGCACCTCCCGTGGATACGCCTATGATCGTGAGTAAAGTATATTAAATTGTACATGATTATTAAATAGATTTTTATTTTTAAATATAACGTTCGAATTTTAAATTCATGGACTCATGAGTGATACTTCTACAAATTCTGAAGTGAAACAATATCTAATGATATTACCTATTATGTTTTTTTTTTATTTAGAAGAATATACCTATTATCTTAAAATTTATTTCAGTCAAGTCATTTATTTCGATACGTCAAAATGAACAGTAAAATTATTTAATGAAATAATTTACAGAAAAAAAAATAATAGAGTCGCTATCTGAAAACAGAAGTTTGTATCTCCACATATTTTTGTAACATTAAATGAATAATCAAAACAAGTGAACTATTACAAAATATGTTATAATATTCTTCATTTTCAACTATATTAATAAATACCTACCTTCTATTTCATAACATCGGTTCTTCATATTGTGTACTCTGGGGAATGAGTTAAGTAGTGGCATACATATTAAAACTTTTTATTGTACTATTTAATTAGAGGTGAAGTATTTAATGAATTAACTGTCGTAAAAGTTTTTCGACGTATTTTTAAATAACTCGTATCGTATTATAAAATTTTAAAATTATGAAATAAGTAGTATTTAACTATGAATTACATTATTATATTAAGTTGAAATAAAATGGTAACATACTACTTATAGTTATTACTCATATTAGATATATAATTATACCTATTGTACAAAACTTAAGGTGACGTTACCACACCTGCATATAATATTGTCTTTATTTTATGTATGTACAGTTTAAACTTTACAGCATGGAAAATTTGTGATTAGCAAAATATAAATTCGTGTTGTTAATTTAAACTTAAGAATAATTAAATGACTTATTATTAATTTAATAGGTAATACATACCTAGACATATTAATATCAGATATAGGAAATCTCGTAAATTTGTATATTATTCAAATTTAAAAACGAGGTATGAGGATTATACAATAAATTGTAATATTCCACATGGTTATTATAACTCATAAATTGTAAGTCAGTTTTAAATTAAAATTACATTTAAGGGCCATTGCATGTCCCTGATAACCTTTAGATTAGTTTTCAGCTACCTTTAAATTTGACAGTAGGCCAATTCACTACAGATTGGAACTACTTAATAAAGTAATAATACAAAATAGATTACCTGAACGTAAGTTTTCTATATTGTAGGTAAAACATACGTGTATATTTGCTCAAATATTTTTATAGATAATTTTTAATTCACCTAACCTTGTCTTTTCTTATCATTGACTATTCAATATAATATTATTAGTATGTAAATAGTTTACGGGCTTATAGKAAAAAATTCAAAGTGATCTCAAGTTAGCAAATGGAATTGAAATCCTATTTGGCGTTTTGAAAATGTTGGATATTTAAGAGTACCTACTTACCATAATTATTTAATTTAATTTTGAACAACATGCAATACTATCTTATTACAACGAAAATTAATTAGCAAACCCCTATTTTGATATCTCGCGATATTTCCAGGTGCTTAGACGCTAGCGTTATGTTGAACATATGTAAAATACATTTTATACATCGGTCATAGTGTAGTGAGTCTCAGCACGAGAAACTTGTTAATTATATAGTCAAGGTACTAAGTTTATCGATGACTGATGTACGCCTTATCTTGACACGTTACTCGGAGTTCATTACATTCTCAGGAAATGGGTATAGCGTTTCATTGCATCGGAAGTGATGAAAAGTGGTTGCAAAGATATACTTATACGCATATCCGTATTCCGTAGTAACGGACGACTCCTTTTTCTGCAAAGTGCGTTGAGCTGCACACTTACGAACAGTGACGAGAAAACGGTTAGATCGAGGGCTGCAATAAGGTTAGCGATCATTGTTTTCCATTAACACTGACCGAAGACGGAAAATATTGCGGTTGACCACTCACCAGTGTCGAGGTTTAGTAGTGAATTCACACTGCTCCGCGAACCGTGATTTACAGGGAAAAAAATTATCCATGAATTCTAAAATTTTTGTGTATTTTTATTTTTGTGGAGAAGTTGTGAACATAATGTTAAGTGGTTACTGGTTTCTTGTCATCAGAAACAATCATCGATCAGTTCAAATTTATATTTGATAATTATGTTCATAACTTGTAGATAACAATAATATGATCGCAAACATTTAATTTGAGTATGATTGAATCCTAAAGAGAAACGTTTGATAATATAGAGAAATTCGGAACGTCTGTTTGCTAAACAACGAAGTAAACATTTTAAAATATTGCAAACGTGACGATTGAGCGTTTTATCTGTTCAGTTCCAACAACTAATACCGTTGTTGAGTTTGCTTATACTTTTTCCAATATCACAGAGTACCAATAATATAATTATTTATGACTTATACCACGGTTAACTAACATACCACATGGAGACGACTTCAATCTACTTCGTGATCCGTGAATCATGATTTCCGTAGACAAATTCAGCTCTGTAATTGTTTGAATCTTGTGGTTATTTATTTGTTAACAATAATGATTATAAGACCATGTTACAATTACCAAAAAGTAGAATAGTCCGATCCTACTAAAGTTAAATGTTTACAATTATGTGATTACTGGTTATGAAAATAATTATAAAATAAAATTGAGAAGGGGGGTTCACAACTCAACGTGTATCGTGTTCTATATATTTAATAACACACGGGTAAAAAATGTGGGTCACACATTACCTATGTATTAAAAGGTATACAAAACATTTTACACGACGTGGTGAACGCAGTGAACTCTATATTATAATGTGATCTCTCTACATAATAGGCACAGAATTCTATATTAACTAGATAAGTAACTTCGGGCATTAGTTGAAGCCGATTCCGCCATTTTCTCGGTTGGTAAATAGTATGCTATATGCCTATATCATAATAATATATGTATTTATGGTAAATATTAATTGATGTTGTATAGTATTTTATTATTTCTTGTTGTTTGGAACAAAAAAAAATTATTTTATATAGATTTTCATCTTGGCCATTGTAAATGCCATTAAAGAATCAAAATATTTCTCAATGTAGGTTGCTACCTATATAATATTATTAATAACAACTTTAAATACAGTTATAGTTGTCATTATATTTTACTATAGAATATAATAGAAGCGATAGCTACAAAAATCTTAAATTCATAAGGATATTAAAATTATTCCAGAGGAAGTTATTGAAGAATTCAGTAAAAAAACACTCAAGAAAATTACAGTTACAATATTTGTAAATTAAGGTTATTTTCAAGTTGATATTTAATAAATACTGATGTATAAAAAAAATTGGCACCAATAAATCAAATAGAAAATAGTAATTTAAATAAATAGAAAGGTGTAACATTTTTTTTTTTTTTGAGCACCCCCTGTTAAAATGTTCTGGATCCACGCCTGGGTAACCACAAGATTCAGCCAATCGCAGCGCTGAATTTTTTGCCGGAAATCACGGTTYACGAAGCAGCGTGAATGTAAAGTCTGTATAGCTTTGACTTGTGTTATTGACAAAAACATTTTGTGATCGTAGTCCACATTGTATAACTCGTTAATATGGTAGGTATGTACTCGCAAGCAAAACTACATTGATCATCCATCGTTTTCTCCGAATTTGCTGTGCTATCCAATTTTCACAACGATTCTTGATCAAACCGTTTTCATGTCATTGTCCTATTGTCAAAGAATGCGCATATATAAATTACTATGATTGTTAAGGTTGTGAAGAGCGGCGAAATTCAAGTGAAGGGATTCTTGTGCGTATTTCTATTTCTATAATAAATTATTCAAAAACTAGCAGTAAAGATTGGATAAATTAATTTAACGTAAAGGTATATAAATGTTTGATTACTATAGTGTCATTATTGTTATCATTGTAATTTAATAATCCTTTATTTATTGAATTTTACAATTAACAAAAAGTAATTCTCATTGCTCACGATGATGAGGGTTGAATTTGGTTATACATATATATATATATATATAAATAAATAATATTGGTATTATATTCGTGACCGCATAATTTCCGGTCATCCATTTTTGATGATTACGATTTTAGTATTTTGCGTTAAGGTAAAACGCACATCATGTCACCCAGACACCCATATTTTCACAGGTCCTTTCACCCTTGTACGGATACTGGATAGACAGTTATTTACATTCATACGCTTCTGCGACCGTTATATTGGCGTTACTTTGAATTTATTGTATTTACATATTATAATTTTATTTGCATTCTTAAATTTGTAAAATCCTATAGTTGAACATTGGTAAAGTTGTTGTGTGATGTGCGTCGACTTTTGGTTGGGTTTAAATGTTTAGTTCGTAAAATATAATTTATAATATAGGCAAATAGTCAATATGATCTCTGCAATGTTTTTATGTAGGTTGCTGCTACCTATCTAATATTATTAAGAACAACTTTAAATACAATTATAGTCGTCATTATATTTTATTATAGAATATAATAGAAGCGATAGCTACAAAAATCTTATTATTCACAAAAAAATATTTTTATTGACCTTGAGCTGGAGGCTCGGCATGATGTTGGCAGTGGCCAGTGGAGGACCGGTATGATGTTGTAATCGTATTAGCATTTCGTTCTGGTGGCTAATATTTATACCACGGTCTTAGAATATTATGTGTAACAATGCAACATTTTAAATTACAATAGGGTTACAACTTCATGCCAAACCTCCGACAAAATGAAAACAAATCTATCAGCTGTTTGACTGTCGCTTCTATTATATTCTATGATTTTACTAAAAGTTATAATTTGTAAAAAAAACAGTCAGAAATTATAATACTTTATATACGTTCAATTACGCTGTAGCTTTAAATTGTACCTTTTAGTTTAACTTAAACCATACATTTTAACTGTTAAAGGAAAACTGCGCGAGCTTAAAAAAATCTCCTGTCTGTATAAAAAGTATTATTATTGAAACTTGAAACCTTACAAATGGAATATGTTTTTATAAAACATATTCCCCAATAACATACATCATAAAAATGTTTTTTTATTTATGTTATAAAGAAACGTAATTAATATAGGAAAACAAATCCAATTAGTGAAAAAAGGTTAATTAAATAGTATTTTTTAAAGCACTTATTTTAACATCTTTAATAGGAAATCCATACACATTTACTAACAAAAACCAAGACAAAATGTTTTTATTGTAAAGGTATGATATTTTTCGTTACATTTGTTTTCTATATCGAAAAAAAATAAATAATAATTCTACTACAGGATTTATTTAAGTCATTTTAGCCCCGGGACACACAACTGTGCTTCAAGAACATTATAAAATAAACATATTGTATAAATACTAAGTATTGTTAAATTTTCTATGATAAACGCTTTTGAAATTTTTTTAATATTTTGTACAAGCTATAATATACTTAAACTATACAAAAAAATAATAAAAATCAGTTTAACCTTACCTGGTAAATACGATGAGAACTAAGCCATTCCCGATCAAACCCACAATGCCAATTACCGTAAGCAACATACCATATAAAAAAAATATCATTGGGCTTGTAAGTTTTTCATTGCCATCTTCATCTCCGTAACATTTTTTACTCTATAATGTTTAAAATAATTTAAAATAAAAATGATTTTATCTTTAAGTTTCAATATCATTATATATATAATAAGTACATAGTTTGAATTATTTAATTACGAATCCATCTATGAAACTTTTAGTTTGCATATTTTTGAATTTTTTGAAATTTTTAATTTTTTAGGTCATTTTTCGCATTTTTCGGTCATATTTTGCTTTTTTAGTTCATTTTCTAGTATTTTTAACCAAATTCCGTCAATTGACTTGTTTGAAAACATTTATTTTTATTTTACACAGGCTGTATATATTATGTCAAGTAGGTACCCAGAAACAAATATCTTTAAGTTTGTTTTATTATTTTATCAAAATAAATACAAAAAAAAATTTTTTTTAATGTTTCAGGTGAAAATAGCATTAACTTAATTCAGATTTAATCAACTTTTTTATTAAATAAACACTTTTTTGTACTAATGTTTAATATCCTGTAACTAATATTAATATTAATATAAAAATTAAATTAAAAACCATTTTAAATGAATTTTATACTATAATTTTTGGCATTTTTTTTATTCCTTTTTTTTCATTTTAAGTACATATTTTGCATTTTAAGTGCATATTTTATTGCATTTCTTTGGTATTTTTTAAGGTTTTTTAGTGCATTAAATTCACAGCCCTATATATGACCAACAACATTCCTTTTACAAAAAAAAAAATTTCATTTCATTTATGAAACAAAACAAATATATTGTACTTACAAAGCTATGTGTAATCACTCAAAAAAAAAAATGCACTTTCCTATAAATTCACAGCCCTGGTCATTATATGATCATATTGCTAAAATCCCTAATCCTCGTCATATTTGAAATATGGAGTTACATTAATCATGTTTATTGTTTAAACATGATATCATAAGATAACTAATTACTTTGCAACAGTAATAACTGCAATGTTTTCAATAATTCCAAGTAAATAGGTAGATACATTTTGATTATAAAATATTAATTTCTCAATTATTTGGTGTACAATATTTGTTTTTAATTTTTAATTAATAAATTGAGAATTATATCAAAATATTTTTAAAAACCAATTTTTACAGTACAGAATGATATGAGATACCTATAATGTACCTAATAAATAACAATAAACAGTTGTAATGTAAGTGTTTAAAATTTTAAATAACTGAAATTTTAAAAGTGAACTTCATAAAAATGATATATATAATAATAATAATTTTTTTTCAATTTTTTTTGATATAGATAGTTACAAGTAACAAAGTTTAAATAATAAAAATTTCTAAATCAGTATTATTGAATATTTTACTTTTAACTAAGAACTATTGTCCTAACCATTAAACTTTATAGAATACCATTGAAGATGCACTTTAAAAATATATTTTTTATACCTTCAGAGAGCAAAATTAAATATGAAATAAATAATATGTATTATGTTAATACTATTGATAAATGAAATTGTGGTCTTAATATTTTTTTCAATATTCGTATTTGATTTATTTTTAAATCATTAGATTTTTTTAATTAGGTACAATCAATTATTTATTTATTCGTTAAAAATATAATATTTGTATAAGTATATTATATTTATTTTTTTATTCAAAACAATTTATGTACGAAAAAATCTACTATAACCATTTTTATGACTTAATACTTCATCTCTTACTTACTAAACCAACCTTAAAATGTTATGTAGATAAATTATTGGAAATCATTATTTCTCATTTAGTAGCTATATGTTATTATCAGTTTTATAAAAACAATAATTACTAATTACAATTCATAATATAAATAAATATATATAGCAATATGTGAAGTTTAGTTAGTAGTATAATATATTATATTCCTGAAACCTGAAAATTTGAAAATTTATAAGTCTATACCTACTATATTTTATACTAGGTAGGTAAACATTTATCTAGAATCAGTGAGATAAATGGGTCGATACTATTTTGGTCGATCAAATTTATATAATTTATATATTGGGAACTAATTGATTACGCGTAGTTATTTTTAGTTTTGAATTTAATAAAATTATAGTCTTTTATAATAACCTTAACAGAGTGTCACTTGGGAAATTTTTTTTATTATAATATGAATGTCTTATAATATACGTGTTATTGATTTGAGGTTGTTGGAATTCAGTTTACGAAATCATAATAATATAATATATTAATAACAACTCAAATTCTAACCACATTATAATGGAGCCTAATAATATATATTTGAGTTGGTATTTCATATATAAATACAAACAAATTATTACGGGAGGATGTGTTTTGTGTACATTTAATAATATAATGTAGGTACATCACGGTAAAATTACTTAAATTACTAATCAGTATCATTGAAAAATTAATTATTAACTTGAATAATTTAAGAAAAATATAATGCTGGTATCTATTACCTATCTAGATTAGTTCATTTTTTTAAACTCGATAATTAAATATCAGTTATCCATTATTCTGTAGTTATTTCGTTGATAAACCAAGCTTGAGTTAGTTTGAAAATATTTAAAATACCACGAAAATTAATGTCTATGTAACATAATGTAGTCACATTTATACTACATTTATACTAATCTTCTAAAAATTGACTTCATGGAAATATTATAATAGTACAATTTTAAAAGTAAATTAACATTTATTTTGTAGAAAATTGAACTTGCAGTAAACCATCCACATGAATATGATATGAAATTGAACATGAAAAAATTATAGGGTTATGTAAAGATGAAATTAAAATCACAATCAATATGAAAATCAGAATCATCGGTGTCACTCAAAGTTCAAATACTATTTAATATTATATTCGATTTATTAACATGAGTATTTATTTATTTTATATATACGGGATAATTAAAAATCCTCTAAAAAATATAACAGTTTTTTTAGAAACTAGAATATAGGGAACATCAAACAACATAATATATATGTTATAGGTACCAAAATGACAGTTGTCATAACAAGTTGTATTAGTTTTTTGTTGATAGAAAACAAACTGTCTGGTACATTATCGAATTTTTTTTTGTGGCATTTCATATATTTTACGATGTTCAATATTATGATTATCGTGGTTATTATATTTTGAATTCGTGATTTTAGTTTAATTAGATTGTACGTATTTTATATAATTATATAAATGATAACTATATATTATAATGTAATTATCTATGTATTATGCTTTATATTAATATTATTAAACTAAATATAAAGTAATTATTATTCGTGCTGATATGATTGTAAACAAGTATAATAATATATGATTGAATATTATACACACTTCGTTTTTGCACATCGCATTAAAACTGGTTAAGTGGTTCGACATGGATATCGTTTGGTTTTTGGTTATTTTGTTGGTAACATTATAACATTTTGTCTTGTTTCCGGTACCTCACTATTCAGGGAATGCAAATAAAACAGTTATTATTTTTCACACATAGTTATGATTAATATTAAATATAATCGTGATGATTTTACATATTTCAATATATTATTTTCCATTAATTATTGTTATTCAGGTATCTGAAAACTAATAAAAAGATAAAAAATATATAAACATCATACGCATTATTATTTTCGTAACAAAATATAATATTACTTCACCAAGTTTTCCATTTTATTGCTGATTGTCGAAGATTTCCTCCAAACGGATATTTTTTAAAGCTCACATGATAAATCTATAACAATGACACAATTTTTATTCACGTGTAGATTATGTATATAAGTGAAATAATGATCTAAGCATAGCAACATGAATAAAACATATATAGGTACAATTAATGTTATGGTCCATTGATTATAATATTTGTTACTTAAGAATAGAAAGAAAAATATGGTAATTTAAAAATAATCAGTATTAACTACTATTGAAAAAGTATTAACTAGTGACTTTAGACAAATTGTTTAAACTTTAATAACATAGTATAATATGTTATTATTTTATTTTAAATATTATTTGAATTGTAATGAATTATAAATGGATAATTTAATAATTTAATATAAATATATTTTTAATTATATTTGTTTAAATTTATTGTATAAGTATTAAGTATAGTAGATCAAAACATCGTTATTAGGTTTTTAATAATATGATTTTTATATATCAAAGCTTCTTTTTGTAATGTTTCGTATTTTAATTAATTAATTTTAAATATAGTCAAAGGATTGCAAGTAATACATATTTGCATGTACTGTATCTCTGGCACCTATAAGGCTACATTTATACTGGGGAGGGGGGGATCGTGTACATTTTGAAATTCCACTTTGAAAGTAGACTACTTATTTTTTTAAAGTTGTGTCCAAACGAGAAATACCTTTGAACTATTCAAATACCTCGTTGTGCATTGGAATATTTTTGTTTAAATTCAAAATTCTTTCTGCCCGTAAATATTTTAAGTTAAGTTCGCATGCAGTTTTATTAAATCATATAATATTTCACTTAAGACCGTAATAGTATTATATACAATTTACTAAGGTTTTTATTTCACATTGCTTTGTTTATATAGAAGTAAATTGGACCTATATTTAAAAATGTATGACCTTTTTAATTTTGAGTGCTAAAAATGCTAAAAATGTATATTAGTTCATTTTAGAGCAGAAAATGTATCTAACTTTAACAAACAAATTTGTTATGAACTAACAAAAACTAGTATGAAAACGCTAAATGGTGATATTTACTCAACAGTCATCCACTTGATTTTTGCAAAACTAAATTTGTTATTAATTGTATTGACTTCAAAATTTCACAGAATATTTCAAAATTAGCGCATTTTTAAAATGTTTATGCCTTTTTGAGCTGTTTAGACATTTTAAATTGTCGTCTTTTTATTTTTCTCTGCCTAAAGCTTGATCGTTTAAAACAAGATTTCTCATATGCTTTTTTTAAACACAATGAAGGAATGTCAAAAACTAAGTCATAATTTTTGCTGTAGATAGTTAAAACTTTTCTCCACGCTTTATGTCTTCAAAATATTTAGATTTGAATGTATTTTTTTTATGAATCTACTTACCTCAATATTTACACATTATTCTATGTATCAATTTATATGTTTATTAAAAACTCAATTTTCAGTTGGCCCAACTTCCTCTTGAAAAGAAAAGAAGGAGTAATTATGTACAGACTCGGGCATACTCGATTAACCCACGGTTACCTCATGTCAAAAGATGAAAAACCTATCTGCACAACATGTGGTACCGAACTAACAGTCCAACATATCCTCACAGAATGCCGTCAATAAACAGAAGCACTCATTCAACTGAACATTCCAACCAGCAGCCCTCGGTCCAAATGCAGACTCTACACTCCAAATCTTGACTTTTTTAAGAAAATATGAATTGTACAATTTAATACAAACAATATATTTAAGATACTTGAAAAAAAAATGTAATCAACGTTTACGACTAATGGCCGTTGTCGCCGATGTCTTTAGATCAATAAAAAAAAAAWTTATATGTTTATTGGAAAAAAAATACTTCAATAGTGGTAACTTTTTTTTTTATTATTTATAAATAAATGTATTTACAATCTGTAATAACAATAAGTAAATTTGAAATTTTTTTACAAGGTTTGGTGGCTTGAGTGAAGGGTCCGTCCATTGACTACACTACTTTAAACTGGTTTTTTTTTTTTTTTAGCGAAGTAAATCAAGAGGCCAATTTTGTTTTAGTCAACGGGGAGGGTTATCCGGGAGAGTCTTAGAGGAGAGTTTATTTTTTATAGTTTGTTGAAGCTAAGGTGTGAAGAGTTGGAATACTCAGGTGTTTATGGATTGTATGATTACTATAACATACCAAGGTGCATTTGTCAGAAGACGGAGACTAATCGACTAAAAGGATTGGAGAAGATTTAGGTTTGAGTTTTTGGTTGAGCCATATAATATTGTTTTCTCAGTTTATCATAATTTTGTATTCAACATAAACAATGTTATATTTATGCATATGTATTTAAACTTAAAGCTTAATAATCTTTGTATATCATTAAATAATAATAATGTTATACATTCATATATATACAGGGTGTCCCAAAGAGATCTGACATTCTGACAAATGAAATAACTTTTGTTCTAATCAATATTTTTTAAAAATTTCTTTTAAATATAATCCATAGACACTTGCGCTACATTTTTAGAATAAATTTTTCGTTTTTTATTTTTTAATACTGAAAATAAAAAACTTAAAAATTGACAAAAAATATTTTCGAAATATTCAATATAGCCAATTTGTAAATCTAATTTTTAGAAAAATGTATATGGTAAAAACACTTATTTAAGTCAAAAGGCTGATTTTTTAAAAAAATTTTTAAATATCAATATTTTCGTTTGGTATATGAAA